CACATCAATGACAATAACCTGACCCGCATCCCGCCAGACATCGCCAAGCTGCCCAACCTGGTCTACCTGAACCTGTCGTCCAATAAGCTCCGCAGTCTGCCTGCCGAACTGGGCAACATGGTCTCTCTCAGGTAGGCTGTCTGCTGGTAGAAACCATTTTTTAGTCCTTTTGGCGTTAACTAACCGAGCTTCACATTAGCATATTTCTAACTTCACTTAAGGAGACATGCGTGTTTAGCCTTGAAAATGAAGAAGTCACTAAAGGGATGGGCCATCTCAAAGCAATGAAGAGAAGCGATCATAATAAACACAATGTTTAAAAACACAGGGAACATTATGAAGAGAGGGGGTGATAAAAGCATGTCGCAAACAAAAACAAAGCTGTCAAGCAGAGACTGAAGATGTGACAACAAAAGAATGTGTGGTGGACGACGCTTTGACGCCAGCAGAAACGCATCAATGATGAGGAATTACCAAACTGTTAGACAAAACACTGTTTTTGTCTCGTTTCTTGCAGGGAATTGCTTTTAAACAATAATCTTTTACGAGTTCTGCCTTACGAACTTGGAAGGCTTTTCCAGTTACAAACCCTCGGGCTAAAAGGTGAGTTTTGTTTTTCATTATTACGATTTTGGAGCAACAAAAATGAATGTCTGAAGCCCTTTTTCCATTAGTCCCTACTCGGATCGGCTCGACACATCTCTAGACGGTACCACTTAGCCTGTATTCGATTTCCATTCAATTCGAGTACCACCTAATATTTGTGGGGTCGTTATAGCAACGCAGCCAAACATCCCGTGACATCATTTGCATGCGACACGAGCGCTACAACAAAAGCGAGCGTCAAGATTTTTTGGGGGGGTTTTTTTGTAGCCATGTCGCTCGTTGCTGGGTTTCAATAATGTCTGTTTTGGTTTTCACGAAGGAGACGCTCTCATGAGTCGTAGAGTGACGCCACTGACTACCCAATCGGTAGCATGCGATCTCTTGACGTCACATTTTGGATTGCCTGGGATCTCTTGGAACCCCAGTTGAGGTACTAAAAGGTACCAGGTACCATCACCTAATGAAAAACCGCGTCATGCGACCTGACTCACCCGAGTAGGTACTAATGGAAAAGCGATATAAGAGTACTGAATCTCTGCTGTTTACCAAAAAAAAATGAGAATTTTTCCCGTAATGGTAGCTGTTGAATAGAGTGTGCAGACAATTTTTTTTTTTCCTTCGTATAAACGTTTTTGGCTTCTCTCAAAGAGTTTCAGTGAGAGCTAAAAGTGTTGTTCATTTACTCAAGCACATTTAATGGTCACAAATAGCCAGCAAAGGCATAGACTCCAATAAGCTGACACAGATTAATTGCTTTTACTGTGTACTTATATATTTAGTCCCTCCCCCAAAGGCCAATTGTAAGGTAGGAAGAAAGAACAAAACAAAAACAAACAAACCCAAAACTGATTCATTTGATCGAAGACCACTTCAGCAACAACAACTCACGACAGGTATGGCAGGGAGTTCTGCACCTTGCAATACCACGTTGAGGGTAACGCAGCACTTGCGGAGGAACTGAACTACTTCTTCGCACGCTTTGAGGTGAAGGGACCAGAGGC